ATCTTAAAAAACTACGAAAAGAAAAACCTAATCACTAAAATCCAACTCAATCCGACTCCAATTTGATGCTAACAAAAACTTTAGAAAAAACTGACATTTGTCATTGAGTGTTGAAAATCCTGGGAATAAAATTAATATCTTGAAAGATGACAACTTTGACCATATCAATATTCAAGTATTGTAGGATCAATCATTATCTTTTTAGAAAAGTAATATCATCACGAGAGCTCTCTGATAATAGGCATAAGCCACACAAATTTCGTAGTCTACAAATAAAAACGAAAGATTGGGCAAATAATAACTTATTAATTTATGAAAATTGACGAGTACAATCCTCTGAGATATTCTTTACAAAATAAAAAGCATATCCTTTGATTCGATCTCCTTTGTTGGTTGGATCCAAGGGCTATTGGAGCTTGATCTTGAATCGGGCTGTTGACAATCTTTTTCAAGTATTTGAAGTTGAGGGACACCGCCAATGATTTCTGATCGAAGGCTGATAAAACTTGATTTCGAACAGTGTTGTTTGGTGATTCTTCAAATTTGTTGAATCACGGAAAAAGAACGGCATGATTTTGATGTGCTTGTTGTTCTTTATTGAATTTGAGGAAGAACGACACTACTTTTGGATTGGATGTGCTTGTTGTTCTTCGTCTTTAAATAATTTATTGAATTTGTGGAAAAACGGCACGACTTTGGTGTGCTTGTTGTTGTTGATCACTGTTGAATTTTGATGAAGAACGGCATGACTTTGGTGTGCTTGTTATTGATTATCGTGGAATTCTGATGAAGAACGGTATGATTTGATGTGCTTGTTGCTCTTCGCCTTCAGGTTTGGGTGTTAAGGATGAATGTTGGGATTTCTAGAATTCTCAATTTCTGTCCCTCTGGATTTCCGAGTTTCTCAATTTCTGGACCACTTTCCTCCTTCCTCGATGCCTTTATTTATAAGCTTCTTGGATTAATAGGATGATGATACGTGTCCTCTCCTGATAAGGACAAAATTATAACTGGGCCAGACCGGTTATATTATAATAATTATCCATATATTGTGATAATTATCCATAAAAATAATTATTCCAAATATATTTTATTAGGAATAAGTCCATGAAATTTTAGTGTCTACAATTTAATCATTGGGTTGATTTTTTTTTTTTTTAAATGATTTATTTGCAAAAATCCTAAAAGATTAACTTAATACATTGATTAAATAAGAAAATCTCATTTATATTGTTTTGAGATGACTCTTTTCTTTAAAGACATTCGTTAATTAAGTTTCAATGCGTAAGAGCATCTCCCATTGTGTATACTTATTTATTTATTTTGTAAATCTAACTTGTCATAGTTGATTTACACAAAAATTTTGGACTGTTCGTCTTTAGCTCCAGTTAGGGCTGCAAATGAGTCGAGCCGAACTTTGGCATGCTCGGGCTCGGCTTGTCAGAATCAGGGGAGTGCTCAGGCTCGGCTTGAGCGAGCATGACTAGGCTGAGCTCAGGCTCGGCTCGTGAATATTTTGCCATACTCGGGCTCGACTCGGGCTCGCTTTGCCAAAACTTATACAATCTCTTCTTGTATCAAGATATTCATAGAAGTTGGAACCATGGATCAAATCTCTGATTCATATATATAAACACATATTCATGTGTATATATAAACAAAATCTATGTATATATAATTGTAAATATGTATATATTATATATATGCCTTCTTGGAGGTTGATCCATTGTTCTCCTTCAGTCTCTATCTTGATCGTACTCCATCTTCTCACAAATCACAGGGCTGAATTTATAGCGTGCATCAACTACAGTAGAAGAAAGAGAAAAGAGATGAAAGAAGAGAGATGGGGAACTTCGGAAAAAGATGATAGATGGGGATGAACTGATGAAGCCTTGCCGCACAGATCTAATACTGAGATAAGAATAAGGCTGACAGGTGGGGCTTTATGTGGAGAGATTTTAGGGTTTTCTAATTCAATATGGGCTTATTAGTTGGACTCAGCAAAATAGTTTATTTATTTGTTTTTTTATTGTATGGGCTTAACATTTTGATATGGGCTTAGTAATAAACACTATTTGGTATCATTTATTTGGGCCAACTATAAATTATATAAAACATTTTGCTAAACGAGCTTGTTCACGAGCTTACCAAGCCAAGCCTAGTAGTGTTCAAGCTTGGCTTGTTTACTGGAGCTTGAAAATCGAGCTCAAGCTCGGTTCATTTAACTCACGAACGAACCCGAGCCGAGCTTTTAACGAGCCGATTTCGAGCTGTTCATGAACAGCTCGGCTCATTTGCAGCCCTAGCTTCAGCCATTATTTTATACGTTTTGTGTAAAAGTGCATCTGCAAATAACAACCAACCACGTGTCATACCAAGACTCCATGTAACTTTTACAACCCTACTATAGTCCATTCTTTAATGGAATGAGAAACATAGAAGAGAATGGAAATATGATTATGTGGCTGTGTAAAACAACAATTTTAAAGCATCTCCAGCATTATGTTAAAACACTCTTTTGTGTAAAATATACACAACCACGTATGATGTGTAAGTTTTTTTTTATTTTTTTTAATCTCTAGCAGTCTGTTAAGATATATTGCCACGTCACTAATGTGTAAAATTATTGTGTATTTTACACAACTTTTTTACCAACATCAGTATAGTTCCTTTCTCCTCCCTCTTTCTCATTCCATTAACGAATCAACCTTATATTAAGTAGGTTTGTATGACACTGGTTGGTTGTTATTAGGAAATATATTTTTACACAAAAGATATAAAACAATCGCTGGAACTAAAAATAAATGATCCAAAATTTTTATGTAAATATATTATAACATATTAGATTTACAAAAAAAATATATATACACAACAGTTGGAGATACTCTTACACATTGATGACGCGCGTGGCAGTGTATCTTAATATATTGCTGGAGATTAAAAAAAAATTATACATTATACGTGACAGTGTATATTTTACATAAAATGATATTTTAACAGACTATTGGAGATACTCTAAGAGTTTGTCCTACTTAATGTATTTGTAACTGTTGAGTTTGCCTTAAATACAGTTTTTATTCTAAATTACTTTACCATTAAATAAGAACATGAAAAAACACTTCATCACTAATTTAGAGGATGACAAGTTTCTTAGAGCATTTCCATCAGTATGCTAAAACACTCTTTTGTGTAAAATATATACTGCCACGTATAATGTGTAATTTTTTATTTTTTAACTCTAGCAGTCTGTTAAGATATACTGCCACGTCACGTGTAAAATTATTTTGTATTTTACACATATTTATTTTCTACTTCCTTATTCTCATTGCATTAACAAATTAACCATATATTAAGTAAATTTATAAAAATTATGTGGGATCTAGACATGACAATGATTTGTTGTTAGTGGGGGATATATGTTTACACAAAATGAGCTAAAATAAATAATCCAAATTTTTTTATTTTTTTATGTAAGTCTATTATGACACATCAGATTTACAAAATATACACATACAAACACACACAAAAACGGTTGGAGATGCTCTTAGTTGTCATCGGGAATAAATTTTAAAATGGACTTTTGTGATTTACTTTGATGTAATTTGGAACTTGTTTGGATTTCAAATGACAAAATCTAGTTTTTTAAATCCCATAATTAATGGTAGGATTTAATAAAAATTTACAAATTAGTAAAGCCTACTATTCATCCGAACAGTTGGGCCAAAGCACACTGGGTACTCAAACATGCAGGCCTAAGTAACATTTTAGTTCTTCAAGTTAAAGAAGAGAGTCCCTACCTACCATGGTTAATATTGATGATATTCAAAAAATCAATATTATTATTACTTGTGGATTATGCTTTGTCAGGTTTTTTTTAGAATATCTCATAATTCGTTGTTGAACGCATAATTTATTCTTTATTTCACGTACACCAGACAATTATTTAGAAAATTTATTCTTCGTCAGGCTATCTCCTTAGAAAAAACCTATTAGATGGGAAGGAAGGGTTGTCCTTGACATATATATTTGTAGGGCACAAACTTAGTATAGGAATTTAGTTGTGTTGGATCATTGGAGAAAAATATGAAGCAATAAGAGTTGTGAGATATCGCATACTCTCATCGACCCACCGGCCACACACACTCTAAAATGTTATAGGCAACATATATATTTATAGGGCACAAACTTAGTATAGGAATTTAGTTGTGTTGGATCATTGGAGAAAAATATGAAGATGAGATATCGCATACTCCCATCGACCCACCCGCCACACCTACATATTTTTAGAGAAAAATATGAAGCGATAATGTCGTGTTTGTGTGGCGGGTGAGTTGATGTATGCAATATCTCACAACTCTTATCGGTTCATATTTTTCTCCAATGATCCAACACAACTAAATTCCTAAGTAGATTGCAACCAGGATGGGTGAAACCTAAATTTAACTCGATATTTCAAAGATTTGCTAGAGCTAAAAGTTTTCAAACCCAATTCGACTTGTGTTCAAGTCGTGGTGTAAGAAATCTGAACATTTCTTGGACCCAAATTTTAACTTGGCCTTTTATAATTTATAAATTTAACAATATATCTTGATAATTTATTTATAACTTTCATAAATGTACATTTAATTTTTATTTACTCCATTTATTTTTTGTTTTGGAGTAACCAAGCATATATTACTTTGGTTTCTCTCATCCAAGCACAACTCTGGAGCTCAAAATTTTGAAAGTGAGTCGCCTCAAGTTGGAAAGTTTGAGTTGTGTTTAGGTTTGACTACCGGTACAGTTGGATAAATCTGATTAACTTTTAAATTTTTAGTAGGAGAAAGATTAGTTGAAATTTGATGGAGTTTCAATTTTAGGGGTGAATTCTCAGACATTATATTTTAAATTTTTATTTATTTGATAAAAAATGTAAGGACGAAAATACCCTTATCGGGTCGGGTCCAGCCTACAGCTGCAATTGGAGTCCATTGAAATTCATTTATTTCCGGACCGAAGAAAGAACAAATAATTGCTCTCTCTCTCTCTCTCTCTCTCTCTCTCTCCATAGCGAAGGAGAGAGCTCTATCGTCTTCGTTCTATAAAACGAACTAAAAAAGAGCTCTTTCTTCGTTGACTGACGCAGACTACAATCTTACATCTCAAACAAAATGCTCGCCAGAATTAGAATTAGAATTAGGGTTTTAAGTATTTAGCAATTTAGGGTTTCAATCGACACAGGAAAGCCATGTCAGGGCTCCATCGATCTTCCAGCGTTCCACTGAAGAACGGTCTCCCTCCTCAAGAGCTCCTCGACGATCTCTGCAGGTCCATATACACATCTATGTATTTATTAGCTATACTAAGTGTGTTGCAATCTCTGATTAGGGTTTACAAAATTTGGTAACAAAACTGACATTTATTTCTTTAGCTGTTTTGTTGTTCTAGATATAGACAATTTGCACGTGAAATTTTCAAGATTGAAGGCAGATTAAGTTTTGTGTGTGTGTGTAGTTTAAGATGTGGATTTGTATACCTATCTATGCATGATAATTCAAGCTACATGCATGTCAGTATTCAGTAAGAGTTTTTGCTCCGTTTGGTTTTTCGAAGGAATGGCAAAGAAATGAAAATAAATTGCACAAAAATTGAAAATTCCATGTCCTTGTCTGGAGCATTGTTTGACCAACACTTTATTTTCCCTTACCCCTTTTCTAAACTAAGTTAAAAGGGTTCGAACATATTCTCCATTTGTTGAGAGCGCTTCAATTGATTGCTTGTAAAATGTGTTATATTTGTTAGTATTACACACTTGTAAATTGTATGGCCAAGGACTTACATGTACACCAGATAAGTAGATATGATCCTTTATGTACGTGTTTATATAAGTGTTTGTGCTGACAACTTATTTGAATTTTTCAATCAAGGACCATGAAATAAGAACGATATTGATTTGTTTTTTCAGGTAAAAGATTTTAAAAGAAAAATATTTTCCTGTTTAAAACATTTTATATCAAAATAAACGGGTTATAAATGTAAGGGGATTGTATTTAGGGACTACCTAAAGCAACAACTTATTCAACTGTTCACGATTTCAGTCAATCTGTACCTGAGATGTCTTCTGATAAAAGAAGAAGGAAGAATTAGAAGAATTTTTAACCTAAACATTGATAAGTTGAGTACCCAAATTTAAAGTGTTCCTATCTCAAAACCCTTTGTTTGGGAGTGAGCTATCTAAATACACTGTCTTGGGCTAACACGTAGTCAACGACTAATCAAAACATAGCAATCAAAGTAGTTTTTTGGCTTTGTGATCACGATGGCTCTACATCTTTGGTTGTACCAATGCAGCAAACAACTTATGGTTTTTCATGTTATATAGATGTTCTTATATACATTTCACACAATCAATAGAGCTTGGAGTTAGAACAACATATTTCGTATTTCTCTATTCATGTTTTTTAAGTAAAGTTTCTTCTGATACTGTTTTATGTAGTGCCAGTCTCTCCTCATCTTATTTTGATTGTTTTTCATGCAGTCGATTTGTTCTAAATGTGCCTAAAGAAGATCAACAATCATTTGAGAGGATATTGTTTCTCGTGGAGTATGCACATTGGTTCTACGAGGATGTTTCAGTAGAAAATAATCCCTCGTTAAAGTCCTTCAATTTGAAGGAATTCACTTCTCTAAGTATCCTCTACAATGTCTATTTGATTGCATTTGTATTCTTGTAAAGAATAATTTTGTATTCTTTTGGTAGCATTGGATCCTTGTGATTTGGTATATACAATCCTGTCTTTCCGCTCAGCTTAAAAATATGCCTTCACATGCACACAAACTCTACCTTGTACCATCATGTTGTCTTCCAGTCTAACGACATTTACACTGCAAAGACATCACACTCATGAGTTTGATACATCATAGAAGGCTGATTTGGCCCGAGTTTCTATTAGATTAGTTATTTTGCGCATTTCAATGCTAATTTTAGTGCATATGCGTTCTCTTCCGTTGATATATATTTTATAAGGTGTTTCATGTTTTCCTTAACTTATTGCAGTGTTTAACAGTTGTGATGTTCTAAGACCTTATGTGGTTCATTTAGATGATATATTCAAGGATTTTACTTCGTACAAGGTCCGAGTTCCTGTAACTGGGGCCATCATTTTGGATGAAACTTTTGAAAGGGTAAGTGTTTTTTTTTTTGGTTTTTATTATTGAAAATTTAACAGATACTATCTATTCTTTGGTTTCTATCGGGGCAAGTCCGTTATTTTAAACTATTGTTACACAATGCTCTTGTTGTTGCTTTTGGTAGCTCTACACTTAAATGATAATCTGATGTTGTTAAACTGTGAACATGCAAATTTCTACCAACTTATGTAAATGGTCAGCTGTTGGATCTTTTTTAAAGTGGTCTGACATTATTACTGACATACTTCCCTCCTGGGCCAGCCACCAAATAATTCCATTTTATCCAGATTTACTCACGACTTTTTATCACTCATGATGGTGTTTATTACTATTTTTGAAGAGTTACATCAAAACAAATGCTATTCTATCTTTTTAGGATGTCTGGGGTATTAACTTATCAGAAAAATATAAACTTTGAATGTTGATGGAAATGTGAATATTAAAACTATGGAAATATCAATGGAACTGAAAATACGAGGGGTGAGATGATAAAAATAAATTATTTTTTTGTTTTTGTTGAGTAATAAAATATAATAGAAATATGCATGTGCCTAAAATTATTTCTAAAAGGGTAATCGGCTTACAGGTTAATAACTTGTACATGGGTCTAAGTTGTTTTACCAAGAGATTGAGTAATGTGCCACCGCTTGAAAATAAAAAAATGACAGATCCACAACGATTAGAAAAAATAAAAAAGAAGCGAAAAGCCGAAGAAGAAAAATAGAATATAAAGAAGAGAGTATAAAATAGAAAATAATGTATTTGACTTTTTCTTAACGAACAAAACAATAGAGACAAAATGCAGAGAGGGAAAAGAAAAAAAATGATTTTTTTAATAATATGTAAATATTAATTAGGGTAAAGTGCAAAAAAACCCCTCAACTATGAGCGTTTTGCAAATAACCCCCCTGAACTACAAGAAACCCCCTTGAACTATCAATTTTTTGCAATTGAGGACAATCCAGCAGTTGGGTTGATCGGAAAAATCAAAAGACAATTGTACCCTTCAATAAAACTACGTCGTTTTGGCACTTATACACTTACTTGTATGATATGGCAGCTGTAATCTCAAAGACAAATTACAACTTGACGGCTCACCCAACACCCTTCTCCTACTTTCTCTCTACCACAATCAGATCCATCAAACATTAATCTGGTCAAAACCCGGTCTCCCATTCTCTCTCTACAAACATCACCTCTTGCATATTCTCTCTACAAACATAATCTGATCAAAACCCAATCTTTCCCATATGTATGTATGTATGTGTGTGTGTATATATATATATATATATATAATAGTGTGCATATATATACTCACAAAGGATGCTGATATATATATATAGACACACAGAGAGGAAGAGATCCGAACACCCAATCAACTCATAATTGAGAATCACCTTTCAAAAAAAAGAGACTTATAATTAAGAATGTGAGACACTCCCAAACACCCAGTAACCTAATTTCTCAAAATCCCTGAACTCAGCTAATCCCTCTCTCTATGTGTCTGTGTGTGTGTGTGTATATATATCGTCTAACAATCAGAATATATAATGGTCCCTCCATCTGTGTATATAAATATATTATCTGTATATGTGTGTGTGTGTGTGTGGTTTAAAAAGGTAATAAATGGGCAATTTGGTATTTTTGTATTACAAGGGTTATACGGTCATTTAGAAAATAAGTGGCACACGCGCGTAATGTTGGTAAAAAAAATTTCTGCTGGTGACTGGACTGGGTTAATTGCAACCAAGTTGCGTAGTTCAGGGGGTTAATTGCATTATTTGTAGTTCAGGGGGGTTTATTGCGTTTTGGCCCATAGTTCAGGGGTTTTTTTTGCACTTTACCCCATTAATTATTATAACATTAGATAATATATTTATAGAATATTTGCCATATTATATATCAACCATTGAAATGGTGAATGCCCGTTATCAAATCTACTATGATTATCTACTTTCGCAAAAAAATGTTTTGAATGGAACCCTTTAGCTTTATTAATTAATTATTCATTTTAAGTAGAAATTTTGTTTTAATTTCATTGTTGCAGTTTTTGTATTGCCCATTTTATACAACAGTTGTAAGGTTGCTATAGCATGCTATGGTAATGGAGAGCTTGCCCTATTATCTACTAAATGGCCTCACTCCATCTCTCAGTGGAAGTAGTAATGATAAAATCCAGTAATTCCCGTCCCTAGGTTGTGACGAGTTTGGGCCTTTTTTATTTTTCTACTGTCAAGAATAAGTAAAGACCCGGTGATTTATAGTCACATCACAATTTTTTGGTACCCCATTCTAAATAATTTGTGTTAAGAAATATAAGATCGAAGCATGAACAACACAAGAATATAACGTAGTTTGGCCACTACAGCCTATATCCATGGCACACAAAGCCCAAAGGGCTACTTCTTTTTCATTATATTCTCTCTTAATTTTGTTTACAATGGTCACCTCTATTTATAGGTGAAAGAAGACAAACATGTGATAAAATATAAAAAATGTATTGATTGAGGATCCACAATCCCATGAATCACTCCAATCAATATTCCATCAAAGGCTTGGATCACTCTTATAATAATATTCTCTAACACTCCCCCTCAAATTGGTACACGGAGATTTTAACTCAAGTGTACCAACTTGAAAATAAATATGAAGTTGTTGAGACAAATTGTTGTTGAATGAACTATAGTTGGGTCTACCAGAGTGAAGAAGAACATGATCCCAAACACTTGAACAGAATGTGCAAATAACCAACAATATTGATATCTGACACAAGGAAATCTAAGACGAGTAGATCCGATCACAAAATTCGAGTTAGGCGAGGAGAGTTGAACGAGTCAAGAGTAGGATATGATAAACCTGCTCTGATACAATCTTAAGAAATATAATATTGAAGAGAGAAATGATGCATGGACAACACAATAATATAACGTGGTTCGGCCACTACGGCTTACATTCATGGCACACAAAGCCCAAAGATGACTTCTTTTTCATTACATTTCTCTTACAATGATCATGTCTATTTATAGGTGAAAGTATACAAACATTTTATAAAAATGAAAAATATATTGATGGAGGATCTGGGATGCCTAAACTCAATCCCATGAATCACTCCAATCAATATTCTATCAAAGGTTTAGATCATTCCTATAATGATGTTCTCTAACAATTTGATTCTCTGGTTCAAACATTCTTCCAAAGTCGGCTAAATCTCAAGCTTGTCATTTCCCTGTCATTTTTACACAACTTAATCCATTCCCTAGCTAGATACCCTTTTTGTCTTGTTAGACTAACATTGCCAAAGTCTACCTGAATTTGCCAATCAACGTGGTTGAATAGAGAGTTTAGTTTCTAATGTTATCTTTTGCAAAGCTGATCCCTAGCCTGTGAATGAGGGAAGGTAGTTTTATGTATGTGCCTTAACACATAAATTTTGGTGATGCTGTTTATGAATATGTATCCGCCGAAAAAAGGCTTTCATTATATATATATATATTGAACTTTTGTATTGCTATAATCAAGTTTCACTGATTGTGTTCGGGGCTGCACATAGAAGGCAACCCCAAGCTAACCCGTTTTCAGATGTGTATGCTGTGTAATCTTCTTTCATGTGTAATTGTTATTTCAAAAAGATAACCTCTTGCTAAGAGTAAGAGGCCACTAAAATGGCATTTATATTACTTGTGAATATTGAAGGATCTGAGAGTGCGCGAGTGAGAAAAAATGCTTATGATATACCATACCATCTGAATGATGAGGGCAACTTGCTCTTTTATTTTCTGAAGTTGCTTAAGTTTATCGTTTGAGAAAGTCAACATTCTGGGTTGGATATTTTTAGCCTGCGGGCATCGATTGCTTTGAGTGACTTAAATCTAGTATGATTGGCTTGCTAACTGAAAATCATGATTGAATAATTAATGGGTCTTTATAAAGCAAAAGAGAGCTTGCAAATAAGATGATTTGGAACCATAGGGTTATGCTTAATACAGGCTTAAAAGTATCTGGGTGGGGCCATTATTATATTCTGCATCTGATGCACGGAAGGGTGAATTGCACACATTAAATACGTATAAAAAGATCGATTGACATAGCTTGACTACCTACCGGAAAAAGAATATAATTTCACCTGAAACAAAACTCATGGACTGCTACTATATCCACATTCATTACCAAAACACATTTTATGCTTAATTTAGGCTTAAAAGTATCCAGGTGGGGCCATTAGTCGCATATTCTGCATCTGATGCACGGAGGGGTGAATTGCACATATTAAATATGTATACAAAGATCGAATGGCATAGCTTGACTACCTACCGGAAAAAAGAATATACCCGAAACAGAACTCATGGACTGCTATTATATCCACATAAAATTACCAGAACACATTTGACTCCTAAAACATCATAAATCATAAACAAATCTATACTAAAAGCTTGCTAAGTTGAAATAGGTACAAATAAAGACTCAAATTCGATTTAAAACTTGATTGAAAAGGATCCAAAGGACACTTCATGCGGTTTTTTTAAATAAATTTTTTTATTTATATTTGTCTCTTTTTCTCAATATCATGTTTTAATCAGCATCATTCCACATGTCTTGAATCTAGTCAACCAAATGCCCTTATGATAAATAAAATGCATCTTACCTTAACAGACTCCCCCCCCCCCCCCAAGCCCCCCTCTCCTTCCTCTTTCTCTCTCTCCACCTTTAATTATCTTATGAAATTATCATATGCATGCAAGGTGGAGAAGAATGAAGTATATTTTCATTATTTTGACATATTGAAATTTATCAAAAATTTAAATATATATGAAGATATTCACGCTTGTGTTCATATGCCTGAAAAGGAGAGTTATCTAAGTAAAGCACATTTGTGAAACTGATTGCAGTGCAAGCGGGGGTACATTTTCTCTGGGCAGCATTGATACATAATTTTTTCTGTTTGATTACGTGAATCCTCACCTAAAATCGGAGTAATATAAGAGATGTTCTTTTACTTATATATATATATATTCTTGCTTTTAATGAAAGAAGAAGGGCTTCTTCTAGGGGGAGAATAGTTAAGTTATTATTTAGAACTTTTTAATCCAATGTGTGGTAAGTGGCAAGCTTAGTTGGTATTGAATTCAGTAGAAGCTTTGTTATTTAATTTGGTTTCTAAAATTTTTACTGGCTTTGGATGGAAGAGTTATCTAATATGTTGTATATGTTATAGTTCCCGTTCAGCAAGTAATCTTATCGCTATTTTTTATGTTTGATTTATGCTATCTGCAGTGCTTGCTGGTGAAAGGATGGAAAGGCACAAGCTGGAGTTTTCCCCGCGGGAAAAAGAACAAAGATGAGGAAGACCATACGTGTGCCATCAGAGAAGTAAACATCCTTGTTTCTTATGTAATTGTTAATTTTGTCATATGATTGATTAGCATTTCTCATTGAAAACTAGCTTCATTAGTGTTGAATCGGTGAACACGATTCGGCACATTGGAAGCATGCCACAAACAAGCAGACATAATAACACAATGTCTACATGGTTCGGCCGAACTCCACTTAGGTCCATGGAGAGAATAAAATTCACCATAATGAATCAGGAAGAGAATATACAATTGTAGAGAATTCCCACTCACTTATTACATCTTTCTACTCTCACCCACTCTCTTCGCTTCTCACTCACTCCTCCGTTCTCTTTTTTATTTTATTTTTTTATCTACCTTCTCCACTCAACTCCACTTCTATGTATAAAACAACTTAGCTTGGTGAGCAAGCAATACAAATCGTTGTTAGACAAGGAAAGCAACTACTTGGGGCTCAAGTAGAATTACTTTGAGCCCAAGTCTAACAACACATCCCCAAACCAATACAACCTAATAAGAATTTGAGACATCCCCAACACATCTGTTTCTGTTGCTTATGCAGTAGCACATTGCATGTCAGTTTTAAAATTTCCATCTTCTCATGATAATTTGTTTACCCGGGAAGTTCAATTTGGTTCATCACTGCTTTAGCACACGCTATCAAGCAAACGTAATAGGCTGTTCATGGGAAATAACTTCACCTTAAAGTGTATCTCTAAAATTACCTAACCAGCTTATGCACCTTGAATTGAGTCCGTAATTGATTCTTTGTTTGGGAAGATTAAGGAATTATACATCCAAGAAGATATTTGCAAATCAAATAATGGAGCAGAAGCTGATAATTAAAATCATGGAAAACGTCTTCTGATGGTTTTCAGGTTGTTCACATTCTTATAGTAGCTAAAAAGTTGAGGAGAAGAGCTAATCAATCACCACCACCACCATGATCTCACTCTCAACATTCCATCAAGAGAACCTCCACCAGTTTTTTCTTATCAGAAGTCAGGCTTGTTTGGTTCAGTTCTCTGAAAACAAATTTTAAAAACTTTGAAAATAAAAAATTTCAGAGATACAAAAAAAAGTTTTATGAGATCAGGCCTTTTTAACTCAGTTTTTATAGTTTTTAGGAAATGGCGACGAAAATTTCGAGCTCTTTTCTGTTAAAAAATATAACCAACCACTCATTTTTTCGATTGATAATTTTTTAGATTCAATTCTTAAATTGCTGAAGTTAAGTTTAACATCCTTTTTGGCAGGTACAATGGAATTTTGCACCCATATTGTCTGAAATTAAGTTTTCCAAAGTCTCAATTGGCAATTTAAGGACCAACTCCGATTTTTTATACCAAACACAAACTGATTGTTTGTACTAAATTAAAATGTGACAGCTTCTTGTAACTTGTTTCTACTATTCCCTTGGGGTGAGGATTTTTTCCAAATGGTTCTCTGGTAGATTGATCATCCTATGTAACATGCAACTATTGTTTTGTCATTTTTGCTGCTGTTATTTACCATACCATGTCAATGCATGAAACTATTGGCCTCTGTCAAAATTTAGGAAAGAATAATTAACCGCACCTAGGAATTGAACAGTAGCGGATGCGTGCTTGTGCACAGAGAATCTGCTATTGCATTCTTGCCTAACTAGTTTATGCCTTCATGCTGGATGCAGGTACTGGAGGAAACGGGTTTTGATGTTTCAAAGCTTCTTAACAAAGATGAGTACATTGAAATGATATTTGGACAGCAGAGAGTCCGACTCTACATAGTTCCAGGTGTTAAAGACGATACTGCATTTGCTCCACAAACCAAAAAAGAGATCAGTGTATGATATCCTCCCAAACTGTCAGAAAGTTTATTTTTATGGGTTCCTTTTGCATATAATTTGTTTGTAGAGTGGAATATTGCGTAAAATGCCTGATGTGACATTCTTTATTGCTTTCTGAGGTATTACCTCCAAATTATTTTCATCTTTTCTTTTATTTGTAATTTGAATGCCTATGCTCCATTAAGTCTGAGTCGAATCACTTTATAGGGTCTTACAAGCTATTTTAACTACTATGTACCTACTTAATATCGGGTGGGAGGAACCTATATGATAAACTGCTGGTTGTGCTTTGTATTTCAGGCAATGAAGGGTTGCAACAATCAAAATAGGGACACCAAATCCCCTACCAGCTGTTAGCTCAAGTTGGTTCAAGACTGGGTTGGGAGCCTTGGGACCTGGGTGTGAATCCTTCTATCATAATGATATTTATGGAAAACTAGAAAATAGAACCTATTGGGGTGGCCTTAGGAAGGGTTTAATGTTTTGCATCGGTCCATAAAAAAATATAGTTTTTCTTTTGGATAGGTAAAAAAGAAAAAAAATACTCCCTCCGCTGTCTTGCAAAAAGTGTCCACCTTTCTATTTTGGCTGTTCCAAAATAAATGTCCTTGTTCAAAATCCAATATACTATTTTTTTTAATATTCCTAATTTACCCTCATTGCCTTGAAGTTATAAAAGCAATTAAAGTTGTGTGGACCCACCACATGGGTATATTTGGAAATTCATTACCTACCACTATAATAAATAACATTAAAAATTACGCACTTAAAAAGTTCAGATTCCCGAAAAGTGACTTTTTGTGGGATGGAGGGAGTATATATTTTGGTATTAATGTTTGTGACGACATTTTCCTTCGTTTTTAAAGGGATATATTTTTATTTGTGCAACCCATTTAAAAACTATATATATATATATATATATATATTGATAGGTAAAGAACTATATATTTTGGTATTAATGTTTTGACTTTATTTTTTTTCTTTTTTTAATGTATATGTTTTTATTTGTGCACTTCAGCTACTTTATTTTTACCAATTCGATTATTGGTTGTGAATCGATTCTATACATTTACTGCATAAAGATTAATTGTGAAGTAATTCAACAATCCTGTTCATGACTACAAAAACCATAAGTCAATAAAATAATTTATTTATTTATTGTTGAATGTGGTATCAACCAGAGGCGACCTTCCCCAATCTAGTATACCATCATTTGTTTGTTTCTCTTCCTTTGAGTGACCCATGTTTCTAGAGTGCATAAAGATTAATTGTGAATTAATTCAACAATCCTGTTCATGACTGCAAAAACCATAAGTCAATAAAATAAATTATTTATTTATTGTTGAATGTGATATCAACCAGAGGTGACCTTCCCCAATCTAGTATACCTTCATTAGTTTGTTTCTCTTCCTTTGAGTGACCTACATTTCTAGAGCCATAGAATGCATCAGCTTCTATAGCTCTTTCTAGAGCCATAGAATGCATCAGCTCCTATAGCTCTTTCTATGTACAAACTATACATATATGTGGCAGGTGAAATATAAATATTTGTGACTTAGGCAATGTACTAAATAATTTCTGCTTGCAGGAAGTTGCATGGCAGCGGCTAGATGAAATTCAACCAGCTAATAACGATGTAATATCTCGTGGGATCACTGGCCTCAAGCTTTACATGGTTGCTCCCTTCTTGGGGTGAGTATATTGGCATATCTGTTTACAAAATATCCCCATAGGCTTTACTTTCTTGGTCCAACTTAAATAATGTCTTCTTGCAGAGCTCTGAAAGGATGGATTTCAACACATCAACCACCAGTAGTACCAAAACCTGACAAGCCTTTGAAAGGTTTGCTTTTTTTCCTTTTTTTTTTTTTTTTTTTCTTTCCCTTGAATAGATATATTGTGGTAAATCCCTGACATGTTCTGTTCTCATATTAGTTTGAACCATAGTGGTGATGCCAATTATAGGATTAATTTGAACCTCATGGATGAAACTGTTAGATAAAAAGGAAAGAAAGGAAAAAGAAAAAGAGGAATCTGGGGTGTTCTAAAATTGTATTATAATGTTTGCCCTCATACATGAATTCTAAAATTCTTTACATGGATCATCTCGAATTTCCTCATACAAGAAAAAAGAACCAAGATTGTGCTCTACTCATTTTGCTGATGGGTCATGTTAATTTTGTCTAGGAATCAGCGTGTGGAAGGCAAAGAACAGTTCTACAGGGAATAATTCAGTAATAACGGAGAGTCATTTAATTAAACCTGTAGTTGATGCTCATTCGCCTGATACAGGCACTGGCAGGAGCTTCCGAAATTTCCGGTTTGATACTGCTTTGATATTGCGAGCAATGGAAACTGCCTTTGCTGCTTAGATGCCGCCGAACTCAAATCTGTTTTGTAAAGTGTTCTATGTGCATATAGTTAGCTCAGCCATTGCACCAGTTCTTTTGACAGCGCTCATGGCCTCTTTCTTGTGCTAACTTAGTAGCTGTACCGGCTGTATGCCTGGTGTGATTTCCCGGTCTGAATACATGTACATTCTGTAAGTAACGCTTGTACCAAGTTAATCACCAGGGGAAAAAAAATTGTGGCAAGGACTTTTGACATTTGTAGTCTTTTATTTTCACTTATCGGTTACGTTGACAAACATATCTGACTTGCTTATTCCAGTGTTGATCCTTGAATTGCTCTCTTTGTGAGTCGAGCAAAAAATACATTAGCATTTCTTATAGATCGATGTAAATGAAGAGACAAAAGTCTCTGTTGGCTTAAGTGGATGCGACTATTATTGTTAATTCAACTTTAAAGACAGCAAGTCAACTTTCATTGGTATCTTATTAATTGTTGTTTTTGTAGCTTGAGATCCGATTCTACAAAAGTTAGTTGCTTTGTGTCTGAATTTTTTGAAGGCTGCACTTCTATTGATGTCCGATATCCCATGGTGAAAGATTTGAGCTTCCATGTAAATTTATGCTAGTAGTTATGCAAAGTGGTGGAAGATATGAGCTTTTTGTCAAATTCATGTTCTTCGCACAGTGGAAGCCTGGAGAGTTTGGGCAGAAGGAAGAGAAATGTTGAAACTGTAAAGTATGAAATTTTGAATTTACTTGATACAGTAAGAGTTCTCAAGTTACATATATATTTTTGTATGTCGTCTAACACCCTGAATATGTGATAGATCCTGTTAACAACTTAATTGTGCGATCAATATGGTTGTTGATTTGGTTTCTTTTATGGCAATAAAATAAATTAAACGTTTCAGAAGACCATCAAATTGAAATATCATAATATGCTTGTTTAGAGAACTTGAGGAATGTTAGGGTTTTGGTATTTGGGGTGGGGAGTGTAAGAGGTGCTAGACCAGATAGCTTGGGCCTTTTAAGTACTTACATTTCTTGGCTCCCAAAAAGAATAAAATGAAGAAATTGACATGTACTATAATATAAATATTAAAACAATTATAAAAATGGATGGCCAAAGGTAAGCCAAAAGTGAAGGATTCAATAATTCCCAAAAGCATTGCGAGCGTTCTTTGCGATGACAATATCATTGGCCCTGTCATTCTTCACCCATTTAAGATTAGGTTTCTCAATTTGAAGATAAATTTATTTATTTTTCCTTTAGAAGTTCAAGTAAGTGCGCAAACACAAAACCTCCCTCCCCGAAGTAGTTTATTGTTCTTTCCAACTCTGCCTAACCAAAAGGGGCCATAGTCCCAATTACATCAAATCAGGTAGACTTCTTATATCACCTGTGCTGCCAAACGACATATTCCCCCTGCTGAGCAGAAAAATAGCTTCCAGATTACCAGACCCTGTTGACACCACATGCCAAAGAACCTACTTTCTGATGCATGAACTCCATACAAAGATTGGGTTATTACATGGTCCTGGGACCATAGCCAATCACCATCGACAACTAAGCTATAAACTGAATAAATACACATTTCTAACAAATTTGCTTAGGTGTCCAATAGTGATTGGTCCCGAACCAATGTAATAATTTGTCAATTATTCAGGACAACTCAAGACCAATAAATATATATATATATATAATAAATAAAAGAAAGAAAGAAAGAAGGTGACAAAAAGCAACTACCAGGCCAGGGGGTATATGAGCTCTCCTCTCCTCCCCTCCCTAAAGCCAGGCTAAGGGAAGGTGAGTGATTTGAGCCCCAAATGGGACAGTATAGTGTGTGCACGCATGTACCTCGTCTACCAAAAATTAAAGGATAACATTAAGCATTCGGTACCATGTATTTCACAGCCCACCGTAGCTAAATAAAGATCTAAGTAGTAAGGTTAAAAGAAGTGCATTGTACTTTATATATTGTTTTGGTGTTTGAGTTAAGGCAGTGCCTATCCTTGGACCATTGACCTGTACAGTTGTATACCCACACTCAATAAACAGGCTACACATGGAGTCGGGCAATACATTCTGTTTCGTCCGAACTATGGACGGACTAAAATTGAACTTCAAAATCTTACGGTCTGACATACACTGGACTACTTTCAAGAAATACATGACCAAATACAGCACTAGATCACCCTGCAAAACTAGGAAATTATTTGCTCAAGCCATGTATTTGGTGGAGCAAGTCTGCTGCTGGTAACAGCCAAACCACAAGAAGCGTAAAATCAGAAAGCAAACATAATTCTCAATTCCTTCACTTTCATCTGTTTCTATAATGTATAAGGTCCAAATTTTGTACGCACCACTGGTTTCAACAAGCCAAACAAGCAATTTCCCAGGGTGGACAACCCAAAGAGATATACGACAGCTTAGGCTTAAGGTGACAAGCCAGGTAGCTCTTCATAACAGAAAAAAAAATAATAATAATAATAATAATGATAATAGAGAAATGGACAGGACTAAGACCTAAATAGAACTTATAGAATGAAGAATATGGTAGATAACCTACATGTTCTTGCAATTCAGAACCTGCTTTGCTTGGCATCATATCTTTAGCTCTTGCAAGTCCTGCATCACCTCAGATTCCCGCTTCTTCTCCTGTAATGAACTCTCCGTTTTATCTACCTGCACTGATGGGCTGGACGCTGGGCTAGTAGAAGCCATAGAAGCCGGTGGTTCCTCTATACGAACTGGTGGAGCAGCAAAAACTGGCACAGGTTGCCGTATACAGACGGGTGGAGCAATGCCCAAAGGTAGAGGCCGGCTCAACTGTGAGGGCTGTTTAGGTGGAGGAAGTGGTGGTGCAGAGAAAACGGGTATTGCATTTCTTATCGTCACTGGTGGTGCAATTCCATGGTGTGCCCTAAAATGCCGAACAGGAATATAAGGTGCTGCTCCAGCTGCGGGAAACTTTGGTGGTTGGAACCTGGGGTTGTCAGGTGATGGAAGGGACCTGTCACTCGCTGTTGTGATTACAGGTTGACTCTGAGGAGCTGTCTTCGGGCATATGGGTCTCTCTCTTACTGTTTCACTTAATGGTCTGCTTGGAGGAGCTGCATTCGGGAATATTGGGCTGTTTACAGGTGTTACAATGGGTCTGCATCGAGGAACTGTCTTTGAGCGTATCAGGGGAAGGATTCTTGATGATGTAACAGGAGGTAGCTGTGCGCTCTGTGGTCTTCTTGGATTCTGTATTGGAAATTTAATCGGAAATGATAAATTACACATCTTTGCCTTCACAAGATATTTCTGTAGAGCACGTGCTACAGTGATATGCTCCTGCTCATCATAAATCACCTTTTGTGATGATGAACTCTCAGATTGTTGTGTTACTGGACAAACAGAAAGAAGCACATTAGATAAATATATACGGACACAACATCTATGGTTAATCTGAAGGCGAGACAATTGCTTTAATAGTTTTTATTTGTCAAGTATCAGAGAAATTGACATCAATGGGCCAATCACAAGGCCAATTATCTTTGTCAAGCCAAGTATAACAAGTTTAGTTACAAATAAGCAGGGGCTGGGCCGGAATTACATAGTTTGCAACAACTAAAGTTTTATATGGATTCCATGATTAGGTTCGTATTGGAAAGTAGGATAACAGTATTTTTATGGTACAAGCAAGGTAATAAGGCTAGCTTGGGAATGGCGCACGTTGAAGGTCTTGAGGATAATGGCATGAGAATTTGGACAAGCATACATACTTTGACAAGTAATATTTACTCGCATACAAAAGGAAGCAATTTGGGTTTGTACTCAGAACTATATGTTCATGATGGTGGTGGGGGCATATATCAAATGCATTCTTTAGATAAGAATTTTTAGTATCAGCAATATCACGACGACGTTACAGGAGTCTACAATATCTCAAATGTAATAGCAGCTCTGTGCTTCAACAATTAATAGCCTGCAGGCGTACATAAAACCTAGTATGAAAAAGTAATAGAGGCATGGGAGAATACATGCGTTCCATTTGTAGCACATCTGATATGAAGTTTAACGACAATTACTTTGGATAGAAGTTTAGTTGTGCCGCAACAAAAGGGAATAGATCTGAGCTTTTATCAAGTATAATTCAGTAACCAAAAAATTATTGGGTAAATTGCAGAAAACTCCCCTGAAGTATCAGAAAATTGCAAATACCTCCCTTATTGAAGCAACTAACTCCTAAATTATAAAAAACGTAGCAAGTAAGGCCAATCCGTCATGTTACCGTTAATGTGCATGTGAAACGACATTTTTACCTTGTAAAATTTGTTTTAAAGGAAAAATCTAAACAGCAAGCTAATTTGGTGGATCAAGATGATGGTGGTTCCAGATTTTCAAAACTGAAGGAGGAAAAGAATGATCATACGAATGCTATGTTTGCATTTTTGTTCACTTTGGTGGTTCCAATTTCACCCAAGTAAGCCCGATGTTCTTGCAAATAATATATATACATCAACGTGATAGAGCTTGGAATGGGTTGGTATATGGCTAAAAAATTATCCAAGGGTGTTTTAGTCAATAATTGTTAGCAGATATTATTGCCACGATATATGAATGACTTACCATACTAGCAAAGATTTGATAGCCACAAATCATGGCATGGAATATGCTGTGATTTGATTTAGATTTTATTTAATTTTCTTTCTTGTAATATGAGCATGTGCTTTTTATCTATAAATACTACAGCTGTGAATGATCTCATTCAAGCCTTTACATAACTCTCTCCTTTTTCTTCTTTTCATATTTCTACTTGCTATCAGAGCTAGGGTAGTCCGACTGCAATGAGGGCATTGCGAGTTCGGCACCACCCATTCGGGAATGGTCTAAGGTGACATTGCCCATCCGGGAGGTGACGGGTAGGCAAGATGGTCCAACCTCAATGAGGGCGTTGCGAATTTGGCACCACCTATTCATAAATGATCTGAGGAGACATAGTTGTTTCTTTTTATGGTCTGAGGAGACATTGTTGATTCTTTCATCTACATTGTTTAAACATGTGTATGAAGGGGAATGGTCTGAGGAGACATTGTTAATTCTTCCATCTACATGTTTTAAACATGTGAATGAAGGGAAATGGTCTGAAGAGACATTGTTAGTTCTTTACAGTTTGAGGAGACATGATTGGCTGTTTATGGTCTGAGGAGACATTATTAATTGTTATGGTCTGAGGAGACATTTTTGATTTGTTGATCAGCACTTTATCTGAGAGAAAATCATCACTAGTCAGATTTGCACTCTGCAACTTGTAGATTTTGAAGATGTGTGCTAGCAAGACCGTGTTTGAAGATGCATTGTCCAAGTTGGGCGTCTCAGCTATCCACGCACCAACTTGAGGGAGAGTGTTTGCAGATGTGATTGCCACGATTTATGGAATAATAACTTACTATATTAACAGAGATTTGATAGCCACAAATCATGGCATAGAATATGCTCTGATTTGATTTAGATTTGATTTAATTTTCTTTCTTGTAATATAAGCATGTACTTTTTTATCAATAGATACTACGGCTTGAATGATCTCATTCAAGCCTTTACAAAACTCTCTTTTTTTATCTTCTCTTTATATTTCTACTATAATAAAGGGCATTATAGTGATTTCAGAACTGAAAATCCCATGTGCACCACACATGATCACTATTCTGTCCATGTTGTAACGGTCCACAAATGGCAGGGGTGAATTGCAATCTTTTGCACAAGTTCAAGGGGTTTTATGCCAAATAAATTTATGAGAACTTGTTACTCATCAAAAAAAAAAAAAATTGAGAACTTGCTATGAGTACTTACATATTTTCAAAGAAGACCAAGCTGCCATTGCTGCATTCTTTTCAGCTTGTTTCTTGTTTTTAGCTGGTTCGCCTGTAAATGTGACGCCAGCCAACTCTACAGTGCAGGTGAAAACAGGAAGGTGTCCTAGGCCCGATCGGTAAGTTGTGTATGTTGGCAAAGATGCTCCTACTCTTTGTGAAACCTCCTGCAACAGATTCTTGTAGACCCCCGTCTCATCCTGTCAATCAAAAAAGTTAGTTGGACTAAAGACAGTTTACTAGAATTTTGCAGTGAAAATAAAAAAAAAAACCCAAAAATAGAGGAATTGAGGAATTGAGTCTCTGCATAAGGGTGTTGAATATTTACATGCAAGCTCTGTTTTGTATATTTCAGTGAAACAACAGAGCCTTAAAACCCATGGTCATGACTTGAAGACTATTATATAACTATATATATATATATATGAATGTAATACATATAATGTATGTGTATATGCAAGAACGGGCTGCATGACAATGCGAGTATGCAACTGATAACTGATGTATAGCCATGGGGAAAGGAAGGGCAAAACCATCAAGGAGATTTGGGTATCATTGTAACTTTTTAATCTCAAAAGGCTACTAATGTCCTTTCATCAAAGAGAAGGACAAATCTGTCATATCATCAATTTTTTTCACAGTTCTAATGACTGGTTAATGGGAGAGGGCCCCGGGGGGGAGGGGGTTCCACATTTTAGGTTCTTCCTTCAAAGTCAACTACTAGAATATTCACATTTTAAGCTTTTCCATCACATGCGCCAAACCTGAGCGGAGGACAGTGCAATTAAGGTCATTTTTGACCAGTGCAGGGATATGAGTGTGATTTTGCAAATATGTGTGTGTGTGTGTATGAGAGAGAGATAAATTATTCAATATTTTTATAGAGCAGCAACAGCCAATATGTTTTCTTAGTCTAATCTTAACCCACAAGGAGCAACTACCCTTCACTGTCCTTTTCACAATGACAATGCAATGGGTACTCGTCAATTTTAATGCATTCTTGGAATGCATATTACTCCTGATCGTATAGGAACACCAAACTCCTAAGAAGCACATACACTTCCAGGAGGGATCATTGTCCATGTCATGCACTTAAGTCCATAGGACACTTGGTCCATCTTATGAAGACTTTTTGTGCAACCAACAGCCAACAAATCTTAGAAAGTGGGAAAAAACTTTTCATATAGAAAAAGATTACATATATATATGTATATAGAAAAATAAGATATAAATGTAGACATAATACCAAAAAGTTTGAGTCCATCCGATAACATGGAAGGAATCATCAAAGGAATGGATAGAAAAGGGGGGTCTCAAAATTACTATGTACATATGCATATTCATAAATATGCATGCAGCATATAGACATATAGTAACCATGTCCTTGTCATATTTTTAAGAAAATAACTTTGTCGAATTCTCCATACAATGCTGTGACACGTCCATATCCATTCAATACAGTCCACAACTCAATCAGGACAACAGTTGTGTGTTGGTGCATTTTGCTCCTACTTTGGAGGGCATCTTTTATGAAAATCTCCTCTTCTTCTCCAAATGGGTCGAACAAATTGAAAATCCCCTTCCTTTATGGGATGACGATCTAAATTCTTTTGTAATGAGGCAACCTAAGATTTTTAGTGGATTTCTTTAGAAGAAAATGTAAATGATATGTGCCTATCAATCTGTTATTGAGATATCGAGACCAGATGAAATAAGCAAGAAGCAACAAGATTTTCTATCATTTATGCAGAATTAGATTATTATTGACACGATTGGTTAATTGGTGCAGTAAGTGAATGAGCTGCTGCAACCAAAAGCAATCAACATAATGTCATCTAATATAGAGACCGATCCTCAATCAACTCAGGTAAAAATAAATATGACAGTAGAATTTGCTAATATGTGCTTGAGTACACATCAAGTAGCTCATTCACTTATTGCACAAATCAAATTTTTCCTTCTTTTCTTCTTATTCTTCTTCATTTTTTATTTTTTTATTTTTTTTAGCATACCGTTGTTTGGAGCCTTGGTGCAATCATAAAAGATCAAATTGCCAATCATGATTACACATATTCGAGTTTGAGTGCAGCCACTATGCATAAATTAATGAAGCAAAAACATAGATCTTCCCCCAGTTCATCAATCTTACACCCTACATTGCCACATCACGGCTACAATTAGAGCAAATTGTAAGTTTCCTCAGGGCAAATAGATCAGTAATCATCTAATTCTACATATGCTACTTACCTGATTGATAAAAATCCGACACTTCTTGCTGCTAAAAAGGTTAATCATTGCTATATGCCAATAATGTTAGGTATCTAAATGCTCATGGTACCAAATCTAACAGAAAATCTTGTTGCTTCTTGCTTATTTCATTTTGCCTAGGTATCTCAATAACAGATTGATAGGCACATATCATTTACCTATTCTTCTCAAGAAATCTCGTTGCAAAAGAATTTAGATCGTAATCCATAGAGGGAGGGAATTTTCATTTTGTTCGACCCATTTAGAGAATAATAGGGTTGGGGAGGACTGTCAAATATGAAGGCAATCAGAAAGAAATCTTGTTTTACTAACGGTATGGTGCACACCCATTGTTGGACAGCTGGATAAAATTAAAAAAAGTCATGAGCATTGACTTTTAAGGGAAATTTGTCTAAGAACAACCAACCATTTCACGAGTTGAAGGAGATGGGAAAAGTGGCACCCTAAAAATTGGAGAAATAAATAAACTAGGCAGCACAGAAATAAATTGTGTGTCAGAGCAATCGTAATTCATAGCATTTGCTTAAGCCATTCGAACTAGGTCAATCATCATTCTGCTGAACTAATCACTTATATACTTCTAAAGATTGACCTAATTCAACATACATTCACTAGCACAGTGCGCACATTTAGCATTTGCTAAATTCCCTTTTCCTAATAACTATTCATAGTTTACTTCTCAATTCTTCATCAAATCAGCACCGAGAACATCAGAACTAAATAATGAAGTAAACAAAACTCAACATTAACCTAAAACAACAGAAATTCTAACTCACAAGTATCTTCGCGGCCAGCGAATGCGAAGGACCACGACTGGAGAGCGCATTGAGCGCCACCTCCGCCGCCGAGTGCTCCGCCTGGCGCAGCGTCGTGCAGAAGTTGGGACTCTCGAAGGTCTCGCCGTTGAAGTTGACGGTGGCCTTGAACTTGGGCGCGTGATCAGGACCTTCCCTCAGGCACGTGTACGAAGGTAGGTTGAAGCAGCTCCGCTGCGCCAGCTCCTGCAGCTGGTTCTTATACATACTTTCTCTTTCTAAAACCCCACCGAACACTTTCTCTCTCCACAACCACCACTCGAAACCGAATTCCGATCGATCACAGACCTCAAATTCGTTCAAGAACCAGTTCGAGGAGCTCAGATCGGACCGCCGAGCTCCATGATCGAATACCGGTAATCGCTGGCTTCTAGGGCTGTGATTTACATACAATGCCCAAATATATATATATACATACACTATATTTTTAGAGAGAGAAAGATAGAAGAAAGAGATTTTGCAACTTGGAAAACAACGAACAACAGTGAAGAAAAGTACAGTGCCATTCGTTTAAGCATTTTTTTATTTGTGGTGAGGGGTTAGGAAGTGGTCACGCTCTTGCTAAGGTATGTGATTGATTCATTTCAGCCATTTGATTGACATAACTGTATAATTTGACTGCGATGAGGATCATTTCATCCGTTGGATGTGGTCGTTGTTTCAGGGTGGGGCGCACAGCTGTAAATATAGATATAGAGTGGGGATGAATGTATATGTATATGTGTATGTATATATACGGAGTAATTATAATGGAGTTGTTTTTGAGTATTTTTTATTGAAGCTGAGATCGCAAAGTTGTCTTTTAGTAGTAGCTGACTACACTGGATAAGTGGATAGTAAATTACATGTCAGACGTTTTAATTTTCTGATACTGTTAGTCACGTGACTCGCACATGCTATTAATGTTGGCCGCTCTTTTACCAATTTACCCTCCATTGACTTGCTGCCAACACAATTTTGACCAATTAAAATCAGAGTATTGGATTGATAAAATACAAACTATTGGATTGAAAAAATAGTTTACAAGATTGTATTAATATATTACAAAAAAAATTTAACAACAATCTGAATTAAATTAATTTATCTATATTTAATGGTTAATAATTATTTAATAAGTGGCTCAGTGGTATCGGTTCGTACTGTAAAAAAGAAGAGAAAGTTTACAATTCAAGGCATTTGGGTGTGTGCGGATTACTACTTACTAAAAATAAAAATAAAAATTATTTGTAAAGTTGTCTTATATTAATAACCTCGTGTTGTATTTGTATATGCACTCCCTCAAAAAATTACCAAGTTCGAACTTTCTATAAGGTAAGAGTCTTTTCCTTGAAGTTATTTCCCTAAAAGTGCTTATATTGTAATTAGAATGTATTGCATTTACTTGAGTAAAAAAAACAAAACAAAAACCACTAAATTGTAGTATTTAAAAAAAAAAAAATTATTATACCATATTAATTTGGCCTCAAAAGAATTTTTTTTGAGTCCGCTTTGTCATTAAATATAACATATTTCTATGCATTTTTCAGAGATGATATCCAAATACATCTGCTCTTCATTTTTCTCTATTTTGTAAAGTATAAAACTAAAGCTCATAGTTTTTTTAGACAGCTTTACATTTCATAGTTTACTCAATCAATAAAATAGTCTTGTCTTCTTATTTTTTTTTTATTTTCTCTCTGTCCTTTTTAATTTCTTTATACTTAAAAAATGAGAAAATACCACTAAGCTCCATGCCCATATATATATATATTAGTAAAACCGTACGTGCATTGCGCGTGGTTAAAATCTAATTTAAAATTAATTTTCAACAAAGTAATTAAATAATTATTCTCTTAAATAATAATTAAAATTAATTTCTTAAAATAATCACACTAATATATTAATTAAAATAAATAAATTACAAGATTAAATAATGATGACAAGTTACAAAATCTTAACTATAATAAATTAGAAAATTATTATATAAAATATAATTAGTAAAATTCTAAAATGATCAATGAACATAAAATTGACATAAGGCAAACGAGATAAATATAATAATTACTAATTAAACTTTTCAATAGAAATTCAATTATTGATATGTGTCGTTTATAAAAATCAAGACTATATATATATATATATATATATATATATATATATATATATATATTTATTTATAATTCACTAATACTTATTTCAGTAATTGTTGGGGAAGAAATCCGCACAGCCCTGTACGACACTGTTTTCCTGCAAAAAAGATAGGAGAAGATCGATGAATCATGATGATACCGATGCGGTGCCTGCCAAGAACTCTTGAACGATAAAGTCAGTTACCGAAGATCTAAAAGGAAGGCAGAAATTTTCTATATCGTTTTTTGTCAGACCTGATTAACTAGTAGGGTCTTATTTTTATAGCTGGCTTTCCCTCAGTTCGTTGCGAGATTAGAGGAGATTTCTTGGAGAGATTATCTGCTCCTTTGAATTTGAGGTTGTACCGAGGTTATCTTTACCCGGTTCAACCATTTTATCATTCTTATTTAAATCCTCCTTATCAGTTGCCCCCCTTCTCAAGCTTGCTCGTTTAGCTTTGGGAATGTCAATCCTTTTTTTTTTTCACTCCGGGGCACAATTCCCGATGTGAACAGTGTCATCTTGGGTACTGTTCCCGAGGTGAACAATACTTTTTTTTTTTTTGTCTCAGGTTATTATTCCTGAGATGAATTATACATCGTGATACCATTCCCAATACAAATACCGAATCAAGGTTTTGTTTTGGACGTAGGTTCAAACCCACGGTTAACGACTTAATGATATAAAGCTGGGTTTTCTTTGGAAATCCAACATGTAGTTTATAGATTTTCCGAGCTTCACTCAACTCGTCCCTTTAGTTAGGGAATAAATTTTACGAACTTCGCTCAGCTCGTCCCTTTAGTAAGGGAACTGTTTTTACGAGCTTTACTCGTCTAATTCCTTTAATCTGGGAGTTTTTTTTTTGTTAACTTTCCGTAAAGCATTACCACATTAGTCATTCACAGGTAACTTAAAACATACTATTTTATTGCATAAACACGAGGAATCATGCATCTTATTGGTGATTGTGACTTTATTGAAAAATAAGGTGAAATGTGAGAGAGTTATCATCCCTTTAAAGTGTTTTAACTAACATGCCCCAAGTCTTTATTTTAAATGACTTAATGGGGTTGTTTCCGCTGGGAAGCAACTTTTATCATGCTAGCCTTATGAGCTGAGTTGGATTCATCATCCCAGGTCTACTCATCCAGAGATGATCCTGATCTCTCCAATTGGTTGCTGCCCCAGATGGCAATTATTGGGGTTGGTACCTTCATTAGCAAAAAACCTTTGCAAGTGACCCATTCGAATCAGATTTTCAATCTGATTCTTAAGGTTAAAACAATCATGCCTAGTGTGCCCATGATCCTGATGAAACCTGCAATACTTATCTCGAGATATTTTCATTGGATCGGATTTCATCCTCTGTGGCCATTTCAAAGACGCATCGTCTTGGATCTGTAAGAAAATATGGTCAATTGACATATTCAGAGGAGTGTAGTCGGCACACTTATCTGAGTCCTTCTCACGAAATGTCCTATCGATTTTGGTTAAAGAATGATTTCTTATATTTGGTTTCCTTCTCATCCTTGGCACTAGGGGCTGACCTCTTCTCGTCATCTCATTCCTTTTCCTTCCGTGCATTAATGGCGTCTTCAGCGTTCATGTACTTCTGCGCTCTGATCAACAACTCTACCATGCTTGTAGGAGGCTATTTTGACAAGGAGAACAAGAATTTGGATGTTTAGAGTCCTCATATGAAAGCGGTCAAAGCCATATTATCGTCCACCTCTTCTACCTGCAACATCTCTATGTTGAATCGGGAGATGTATTCCCGGATCGACTCTTTCTTCTGTTGTTTCACAGTCAGCAGGTAAGTGGGCGGCCTTTTATACCTCTAACCAGCAATGAAGTGGCTTACAAACTGTTTACTTAGTTCTTCGAAGGTGTCGATGGTTTCTGGCTTCAGCTTATTGAACCAAACTCGTGCTGATCCCTTAAGGGTCGTGGGAAAGGCTCGGCACATGATTTCATCCGGCACAGCCTGTAAATGCATAAGAGCTAAAAAGGTCTTTAGGTGGTCGAGGGGATCTTTGTCCCATCGAAACTTTCGAATGAAGGCATCTTGAACCTGCTAGATGGGGGACATTTCATGATGATGGGCTAAACGGCAAGTTAGTCCTATGCACTAGGTCATCCATGGCCGCAGTGCCTTTCCCTTTCATGGCCAACATCATATCTTCCAATTTCGCCTTGAGATCTTGGATCTGCAAGTCAAAATGGGTCTTCTCCGTATTTTCATTGACTGTTATGTCTCCATGAGGTCGAGAACTTCATGGAAGAAATGGATGATCCACCTCTCTATGTCAGTTCCCGACCTAGCTTTACTCCACTTCGGTCTCATTTCAGAGAGGATTGTTATCCCGATCCTCAAGGTTTCCATTCACATCGTTTGGGTTTGGGAGATCTTGTCGTGGGAAATTATGCTGAACCGGTGGACCCGCTGGGACAATATATTACAGGATCTCTGCATTTTGCTAGATCAACTAGTCCATACCCTAATTCAGAGTTTGGACCTACAGTTCTAACGGCAAGCCGTTCCTGGTCATTTGGGATGTCTGGGTGTTCATCCGACCCTTCCCTTCGACCGGATCCCTGCAATGATGTTTCTTCCCCAGTAACCATACCGGACTATAAACGCATATACCCAACCAAACAACTTATTGATTTAAGGGAATCGTCGTTCCCACAGACGGTGCTAGCAGTTGGGGAAAAAATCTGCACGACCCGATACGACACATTTTTCTTGCAAAAAATAGAGGAGAAGATCAATAAATCTTGATGACACCAGTGTGGTGCCTGCCAAAAGCTCTCTGATGATCAAATCAGTCACCGGAAGTCTAAAAGGAAGACATGGATTTTTTATATCGTTTTTGTCATACCTGATTGACTGATAGGGTCTTGTTCTTATAGTCGGCTCTCCCTTAGTTCATTGCGAGATCCGAGGAGATTTATTGGGGAGATTATCTGTTCTTTTGAATTTGAGGTTGTACCGATGTTATCTTTACTCGGTATCTTATTTAAATCCTCCTTATCCGTAATGAATAATATTCAACAAGTCAATGAATATAATTATTGAATATTTTATTTATCTATTAAGACGTATATATTTCCTTTTATATATTTGATTTTCTAATTAGAGAGACGAAATTATTTATTTTCTTTATGTATTTCCTTGTCTAATTAGATTTTCTTTTATTAAAAAATTCATAATATATAGATTATGTGAGTTTTATAGAAACTCTTCTAAACATCTTATATTAGTTAAAAATAAATAAAAACTCATAATAAATAGGTAATTTGTGTTGAAATTTTATAGAAACTCTTTAAAAAAAATTTTATATCAATTAATAACCATTTTTTATATTAATAAAATATACTG